TACCAAGTTGTTATCCTGTCTCCACCTGTCTCTTTGCTTAGGTTGATGATGATGCAGATATGGTCTTTGAGAGGTTGGGAAAACGCTCCAAGGAACCTGTGGTGCAGCCGGATTCTGATGAGGAAGACCCGGATGGGGAAGAGAAGGATGCAGAGTTGGCAAACGGTGCAAAGCAGGACTATCAACTGGTGATTGTCGCTAAAGTTGTAAAACCACACTGATCCATGTACTTCCTCTGTTCCGCTCTAGCTGTTGGGACTGTTGGGAGGAGTATGAGAAATTTAAGAAATTTGGGGATAGCCTCCTGACCAAGTCTGCCAAGCTCAATGATTTGATATCGGAGTTGGAAAGGGCCTTTGAGGAAACCGGGAAGGATGAGAGTTCAGCAGACTTTACTCGGATGAAAAAGTTTAGACCTGAGTGCATATATCCATGGAAAGCTGTTTGGTTAGGGTGAATGCACCTGCTTCATCATACCCCAACCCCTTCCCTTACAAGTTGATTCTGGCCTCAGGTGCATCAAGGGGCTGGAGTCTGCTGTGGAGATCCTGGACAGCGAGTACGAGGAGTGTGAAACACTTCGCGCTGCTATTGCCAAGCACAAGGATTCTTCGAAGGGCTCTGACCAACAAAAGAGGTTTCTCGCATGTATACTTAACTTTCTTGGAACTTGGCATTGTCATGCCCAATGTTCATTCAGCCATCTGCACTATCAAATTATGTTGCTAAAGCTTTGCCAAGGCTGTCCGAGCAATCGGAAAAGCAAATGGAAAAGACCACCCAGAAGTGCCTAGTCCTTGAGGTTTTGTTCACATCGCGGACCATGAAAGCCAGCCTGAATACAGGTGTACATTTGCATGATCATATAGGCTTGGAAAGGAGACCCAGTATTTTTTCTAATCCTAAGGTGCTCGAAGGTCATCACAAGCGAGAATGCAGCGAAGAGCCTTTTATGCATCTACTAGCTGCAAATTGTAGCAAATGATCCAAGAAAAGCTCACCTATCTTTGAACAAACGCGGTTTTGCTTCAAGGACTCTCCTCAAGAGTCTTCGCAAGATGGTCAAAGAGGAATGAGTCAGTGAATCTGTGATTCCGCGTTTGGGTTATGGGGTTGAGCTGCAGAACATGTGCTAACCACACGTGAAGCCAGCTCATCAAGCTTTTGTGACCAAAGGGTTCACTCCGAATGAGCCAAGGTTGAAAACAGGTGCAGTCAATACACTTTTGGCAAAATGTTGTATGAGACCTTGCATGGAGCAGGGCCCCTTAAATCCTTGATGTTCCTGCCCGGCCTGCCAGATTGGAACATTGATCTCCTTCGCAAATACGCTCGCCTCGTTGCCAATGGTGCCGGGGCCTCTCCTTGTGCGAGCGGCAAGCTTCATCATGCAAGCTTGAATAGGTTGCACATCTTTACCGCCACATTTACACAGGGGAAAAGGCCATACAATACATGAATTGCAATCCTGTGCAAACAATGTTGGGAAGAAAGTGACTAAATCGCAACATGTAACCAACAGGAGTGGTGTCTTTCAACAAGAGTCTTTTGCCACCGTGTTTGACTTCAAAGCCCGCAGCCATGGATGATTTTTTGATGGACCTCCTGACATATTCATGCCCAGTCACGGGAGAGAAGCGGACAGCTGGACACTACCCAGAGTCAATTTCAAAGCCGCTGTTTCGCATTATTATTGTGCGAGTCAAGCAGTAGTGTTGGTCTATTTTCAACTGGTGGTGAAAGATTGTTACAAATAGAACTTAGGAGAATGAAATGTACCAATGATGCTTCTCCAGCATTGGCTGCAAGTGCACCCGCTCAAGAAAGTCTTGATGATGGCCTTGGTGGTTTGTTTGATGATTACCTCAACCGCTCAACCATCTTGAGCGAGAAACCCACTCCCACACCAACTTCTGCAGAGTCCTTGAACCCAGGAGCTTCTAGGCAGCATGCGCAGGCATGCAGCAGCAGCCATTGAAAGGAAATGGACCTTTTAACTTTAGTCCTTTCTAGACCCTAGGCCGTACATTGCTCTTCATTGTTCGGCTGAGGTTATCAAAGACCGCTTGCAGAACCTTGTGGTGACCTACAAAGCTGATGAGTTTGACTGGGCACAAGTGAAGTCTTTAGGATTGCACTATCGGTGTGGAAAAATGGGAGACTCTCAAAAGAATTTGACATGTGGCAAAATTCTTGCCCATGCTCGGGAGCAAGTCACCCAATTTAGGGAAAAAATTGGTATCCGTGTGTGTTGCTTCAAGGTAGGTGTGACATCAAACCCTTTATGTCGTTTTGCTTCGTACGTGGATAAGGGTTATACTCACATGTGGGTCATTGGAGTCTCTCGAAGTGTGGACCTTATCCACATGCTCGAGGCGGCAATAATCGGCGAGTTTCACAAGCATGTTGGTTGTGCCAATGCACCAGGGAGTGGAGGAGAGGGACACCTGAACAAGGTGAATCCTCCTGCTCCTCCTTACTATTTGTACATCACAGGTGGCCGAGCTGATCAGCCTCGACGTGTAGGCTAGTTAGCTGCTTACGTGATGCTTCTTTAGGGAACTGAGCATCACACATGGGGAAAAAAGCTCTCAACATCTGTCAACATTATTTTTGAATTGTGGAATGCATTGCAACTGAAAGCTTTGTCCTATCCCTTCACCCTGTATGCCCCTATGGTGGTATCATTTTTTCCCAGCTCTCCGTTCGCCGAGGCCCCATCCAAGCATGTGGTGGAGACTGCCCGTGCCCATGTGAGAACCAATCCTCAAGCAGCATCCGCTCTCATTCGGGAATTTGCTAGCATTAGAGTGGATGATGCAGAGTCAGGAGTCCATCGTTTTTTCCAGAAGCATGGTTTGGCAGCCGATGTGAAGATTGAACGAGCGAATTTAGGTGAGGGTAAAGAAGTGCGAGACTTTCCATATGTGAAGCTGAGCTCATGGGTGATGCATCTCCTTGGAACAGGGAGGTTCACGAAAACTTTTTCAGGGGCTGCAGACTTTGCCACCATGAAAGGGATCATGGTGGAATTCTGGAAGCGATTTGAAGATCTTTACCCGCGGCATCAAGTTTTCGAGCTTGCCCGCAATGGTGCCTTGCAGCTATCCAATACAGTTCCATACTTTACCCACTCTGATGAGGGAAGAACCTTCAAGCATGAAGCAATTTATGTCCTCAGTGCGCATGCCTGCCTGGGACGTGGCACGGCCAAGTACATTGAGCAAAACCTCCATCAGAAGGGCTTGACTGAAAATGAAATGGGGCTCAACTTTGTTGGAGGAACAATGTCCACTCAATTCCTGTTTGGGGTGATGATGAAGCGCACCATGAACAAGAACCCAAACGCATTGGATGAACTCATCAAGCTCTTCGCAGCAGACGCTTCGGCTTTGGCCCATGAAGGCATTGTGGCTCCACATGGTGAACGCTTTTGGATGTTGCATATCAACACGAAGGGCGATCTGCCAGCACTGATTCGCATGGGAAAGTTGACCCGGACCTTCTGGCACATTTCAAGGGGTGCCTCGACGAGGAGACCTGGCGATGGCATCTGCCACCTGTGCAAAGCTGGACAGGAGGCCAACCCAGCCACAGGAGCAGTTGCCCTACCTTTTGAGGATGTCAGCACCTCTCCAATCTGGGAAAATACCATGATGCATCATCCAGCCTGGAATGAGAGGCCTGCCATTTTGGCAGGTCTACCATGCGATCCAGGCAAAGAGAGTGGGTTCTTTTCTGTCGACATATGGCACAACTTCCATTTGGGTGTTGCAAAGCACTATGTTGCATCATCCCTGGTCATGGTGATAGAGTCTGATTTGCTACCACCTGGCTCCATCGAGTACAAGCTTGAAAGCATTAGCCAGAAGTACAAGGCGTTTTGTCGGGCATGCAAGATTTCACCTTGGCTCACAGACATCAACAGAGATGCACTCACGTTTCCTCAGTCTAGCGCTTGTCCCGTTGGCAAGTGGAACAAAGGCTCAGCTAGCACAACAATGATGCTTTTTCTTGACAATTTTTGTGAAGAGATGATCAAAGGCAAAACGGACAATACCAACTTGGTGATGATTGTTTCTTTGAAAGATTTCAGTCAAGTTGCGTTTCAAGTTTTGGGGTTTGGATCATTTTCTGTAACTTCTATTGATGCTTCCAAGATGGATTTGATCAAATCAGGCTGATGCCACGAAAGCGATGAACCTCGCCCTCGCCAAGATGTACAACAGTGGGTTTTGGTTGCCATCTGCTATTGGCATCGCACTGTCGAAACAGCTGTTCTTCTTCCTCCAGGCCTATCATTACTTGGCCTCTGCAGCACTGCAACAAGGCAAAAGAAGATTCAGCTTGATGCCAAAGCTGCACTACCTTTGCCATGCAGCGGTTGATTTGAAAAATCAGAGCCAGAATTCAGCCTGGTGCCGCAACCCACTTGGAACGTCTGTTCAAGTGCAGGAGGACTTCATCGGACGTCCATCGCGTGTGAGCCGAAGAGTGGATGTAAGACAGGTTCACAAAAACACCATGAACCGTTGCTTGCTTCTTGCAGAGTTGGCCCTTTTGAAGTCAGATGAAGATGTGAGAGGATTGATTTGGAAGGTGTGATATCACTTTCTGAAGAACTCGAAAGCATGAGCGTGCAGGAAAAGTAAGACTTTGCTGCGTGCTTGCCTCCATGTTTTTGACATTCTAATCTTCAAGAGGACTCTCTTTCCTCTTTTTGCCTTTGGCAATGCATTCCACATTGATTTCATTGGAATTCCAAAAAAAGGGAAAACCCGTATTTTGAGACCAGGGGCGTAATTTGAGCTGTGCCCACATACACTGTGCAAAACATGGGCTGATGCCCAAAACAAAGAACAAGCAGGTTCTAGGTATATATCCAACATATTTAACATGAGCCAATCTTGGGAACCACCCAACATGTCAAACAACTTTTTCCCACTACTTGACTAACCCCCCCGTCTCTTGGCCTACGACAAGCTGCCGAGCTTCCGGAGGACACGAGCACCGATGACGCACGCAGCGACCTTCGCGACCTCTCGCTTCGGCGTGGCCTTGGAGCCCTCGGGTGTGGAGGTGAGCCGCTTTCGCAAGGCGAAGACCGGCCGGCGGACCACGCAGGTGAAGCCGTGGCATGGCGGAGCTGGGATGAGACAGGGAGATTGTGTGGGAAGATAGGGGCAATAGGCAAACGGGTAATGAGAACTTGGTGAGGCGCATGCCCACAGCACATCCCAAGCACAGCCGCTTATATTGAGGATGTGTGATTGAGAGTTGTTGCCGGCTTACCTGAATTTCACATGAAGGGTAGCATAGGGTAGCCATTTGCTATACCATGATCCCAGGCTATCGCAGTTGCCAGATTGGAGAGGGCATTTGGTAAGCCCAAACTATTTGCGCGTGATCAAGGGCGCTATACACGCAGTGGTCTTCTTGGGCTGTGCTGCTTTTACGTTGGACCTTGTGACCAACAAGTACCCCAAGGCAGGATCTCCCCCATCAGCAATCAAATGACCACTTATCAAAGGAGGATGTACAAAATTCCTAAAGTTCAACCTTGGGCCTATACAAAATTGCTAGAGATCAACCTTGGGCCTATCATTCACAAAATCCATTTGATACATAATGTGGAGAAGGGTCGGCGGATTTCTGTGGCCTGATGTCAAAGACCACGCATGGGAGGCCATCGAAACCTTCAGTTGGCCCATCCTTTGCGCACGCCTGGGGGGCCTGGCTTGCGCGGTGTGGACGGCCATCCTGTTCCTCAGCATGTCCCGTGGCGCGTTGACCTTAGCATCCAGGTGCCAAGTTGTCCAAAAGGCAAGCAGCCGGAAAGGATAGGAGTGGAGTGGGGCATCACATATACTCGAGCGTTTGCACTGCAAAGGTTTCCGGGGTTGGACAAAGGAACCTCCGCCAGGCCACACCACACAAAATGTAGAATGTATACAAGGTGAACGCTACTACAGCATGACAAGACTGTTTTGTCATTCCTGAGTCTACTTGAGTCTACTTGCTGTGTACCAATGTGCAATCCACATGCATTGGTTCTCACATGTGTTGTCAGGTGGAATGACTCCTCTGCAAATTTGGCTTCTTAGACTGTTCAGTTGCCAATGAAGTTGCCTGACCTGCCAGGTGCCTACCGCGCAGAGGGCGCAGCTTTTGGTTCACTTTCCTTGATTGCCACAAGGACTTGCATATCGCAGCTGGACAGGCCATGGTTTTCTACTCGGCCCTGCACATCCTTGGACATAGCATTGGTGCCTCGGCCGTCAGAGCCCTGCGAAGTGTGAGGTCCGGTTTGACGACCTCATTGTGCATTTTGCTGTGCCACCCTCAGAACTCGTGGCACAACGTTTTTTCTCGAATTGTGATTTATGCCAACACCTTCAGCGTGGGTACAACACAACGTCTTTCTTTGCAGCTTCCAGCTTCCACAAAGCTACAAGTCATTGTGCCGATGAGGCTAAGATAAAGACAAAAATATGAACACATATGAACACATCACATTGCAAGATCAATCCCCAAAAAACGTCGCCGCGGTCGTGTGGGCAGAGGCACCATTTCTCCTGAAGTGTTTCTCCCTAGCGGCCCCATAGAGGCACAATCCCGGGGATCTTGCAGAGCGACGTGAATGAGCTCAATCAGCTCTTAGGCTGTGCGCAGGAGGGGCCATGCACCAAACGATCCAGCGCCACCCAAAGCTTCAAAACGTGTTTGCCCAAAGTGCTTTAGGAATTGTATGTCAATGACTCAATGACCCCCCTGGGGGTCCTGGCTTGTGCATTTTGAAAAAGCTGCTGGGACCCCTTTGAAATGTCCACCATTCTGTTCCGAGCAGATTCCAGCATATCCTCACTACAGGCCGCTAAAACGGGATATTTGGATCGGATGTGTTGGGGGCGTCTCGGGCTTGCGCGGTGCCACGGGCGGCACGTCGCTCATCTTCCAGGGCACCTCCGGGCCCAATCTCTTCTACTGGGACCTCCATGTGCTTCATTGGCCGCCGTGTCCGCTGCCGGCATCTGCCAAGCCCAAGACCTTCACCGACGCACTCTTTATGACCATGCCGGGCCTCACCGGTGTGCTGTTGCTGGTTTTATTGGTGTTGGCAGCTCGGCGCGAAGTGGCTATTGGGGAGGAGTTTCGGAGCTGGAATGTGGTCAATTGCTGATGGCCATTTGAGGGGTTCTGTGGATTTTAGATGAAGATGATGAAGCTTGGTTCCTGAATCCAGTTTTTTGTAGGAAGGCCTCGAGAAGACGAAGAGATCAGTTTGCAAGTGAACGACTCAGACACTTCAACTATCTTCAACTGTTTTCTGAGATCAGTGCAGCAGAAAGGTGCACCACCTGGCTCTCAGGCTGTCCAGATGTTTCCCGATGTTTCCCACATGAACACTGGGAGGCCATGTGGCAGCCATGTACCCTGCATGGCCACCGGTCGGAGACCAACCGACGGTCTTCAGATGTCTTCAGGTGGCCCTGACGAGCCGACAGAAGTTCAGATCCGAAAGGTTTGAGACCTTTTGGAGGTTCCTCGCAAGCAGAACTGTTCGTTGTGTGGCTGCCTTGGCCTTAGAAGGTCAAAGAAGATCTATGGACAGATCATATTGTAATTTGAGGTGTTACTAAAGGAAAGATCAGATCTAATTTGACATTCAGTTCCTCTATGTTCGTATCGGTTCGAGTCAGCCTGGTGTATGTGACTCTGTGGTGAAACCAACTGGGAGACTCTTGGAGCGGTATGCTGACAATGCTCAAATGTATGGGACTCATTCCTCTGGAGGCACGATAGCAGAGCTGGGGTTGATCATGGTCCATTTAGGGGTTGCCTCAGCAGGCCAGATGCTTGGCAAATGCAAAAGACAATGATTTGGCAAGTGCAACTAGCAAACACTTGGATCCTCTATCTATTTGTTGCCGGGGACGTCCAACGGATTTCTCAACATATCACCGGATTCACGACATAGGAAGCCACACCTGTGCTTGTGATTTGTGAGGAGGTTGGACTGCTTTGGTTCCGCTGGTCGGATTCGTTGGTTCGTCCTACTCGACAAGCAGCCACAAACCAGAGGTGGCTGACATGTTCGTGCCCATTGCTGGTTGGGAACACAGATTATTGTACATTAATGTCCCTGCAAGGAGACCTGATTCGTACTGACACACTTATACAATGGTTGGCATTCGCACCAGTTTGGCAGATTCCTAGATGACCGAGGTTGCACAACTTGGTGATCCTCTTCTGGCCCATTCTCCTCTTCCTGCATGGCTCCCAAGGATGGAGTGGCATAGGTGCCATGGGATCCGTGGGACTGTTCGACTAACAAAGATCAATCCGGCGGTGGCACGGGCTGTCGCCTTCTCTCTCAGAGAGATGGGTTTTAACATGCTACGGTGGTCCTCCGGCCGATGCCCCCCGCTTCATGGTCGGTCCAGTCGGTGCGTTCTGGCCCTTAGATATGCTGTATATAGTAGATTATGCCAAGAGGAATCACCTACGTTCATCAGCCGTATCCACCAGGTGCTCCCTTGGCACTCCTCGTTTGTGGCTTGCCGGTGCTGGTGTACCTCCTCAGCCGCTTGGTGCGACTGCTGCGCTGCTGCTTGCCAAGCCCAAGTCTGGTGCGGGCGGTGATCCGCGGAGAGACGGAGGAAGGGAGCTTGGTGCAGCTGGAAGTGGCAAGGCCAAGGTGTTGGAGCTGGAGAAACTTGGAGTTGCCATGAAATGCCACGAAACAGTCCAGTCGAAAAAACTCCACCGCTTGGATGTGTTGAATTGTCGAGCAGGCTTCCGTTTGGGCAGAGGGATAAATTACTCATTTTGGAACTCTTGGGCGAGTGCTTGACCTTCCACACCCAAGGAAACACCGGCATGTACGCTTTCATTTGCATGCCAGAGTATGCTCCGTTGCAATGGCACCCATTCACAATTACCTCCGGGGAAGATGATCACACCGTGAACTTCCTGATCTCTGGCATTGGTGATTGGACCCAGGAGCCAAGCAGACGTAGAGGCGTTTGTGTTGCTTGGTGTGATGCGACCGCTGCTAGAGAGGATTGACGGATGCTAGCTGCTTGTCGCGCCCGCGGGGTCGTAGGAACGGAGTTGTTGGGGCATTTTGTTACCTACTATTGACATCTATTGACCGACAGATGTTGCAAAAGCTTGCAATTAAATGGAACGAAGCTGCAGTGAAGCCTGATCGCATTCCTGATGGGCATCATGTCTGATGTGGAGGACATGTCTTGGTATTTTTATGTATTTTGCGTCTCTCCATGATTTCCACTTCATCACCCTTCCTTTTGGTCACTACTCTCCTTGTCCTATGGTCCTATGGCTCAGGAGTTGTGCCGCCGCTGCTGCACAGGCCGCTTGCCACGCCTCATCCTGGATGGCCCGTTTACGGCACCGACCCAGACAGCCCTTGAGAAGCGAGTGTCCAGCCCTGCAAGAAAAACAAGAAGTGCATCGTGGTTCCACGCGGAAAGCGCTTTTCTCACCGAAGCCATTGAACCAAATATCCTCTCCCCATCCTCACCCAAATGGCAGATTCCTGCTGTATTTACACCTTCAGGTCTTGGTCGCGGTGGGCGCTGGTGTGGGAGTCACACCTTTCATCTCCTTGCTCTCCACTTTGCTGGCGGAACTCACCTCCGGCCGCTCTCACCGATTGGTCGAGGCACCACGCGCGAACCACTCGGCGCGGGAACCGCTGCGGGTCATCGGGTTTTGGATGGTTTTGGCTCGGCCGATCTCGGCAGGCTCACTTCTACTGGATGACACGCGATCCCACGGAGAGCCCGGGGGGTTGAAGCGGCCTGGAGCTGAAGCTATAGGATGAAGCGGCCCTTCTCGCGGCCAGTGTCGGGTGGTCGGGGGAGCTCTCTGGGAGCTTTGGAGGAATCACATGCTTTGCCAAGCCATAGCAGAGTTTCAAATAGTTTCAACATAGTCAAGGCTGGCAAACTGCACTGACTTCATGGCCTACCTGGGTACACAGGAAAGGTATCAATGCGAGTTTCTTTTTTCCATTCTTCAGGGTCACACGGGAGTGGTGATTTTCTTTCTTTGGACCGCCACAGGCCCCCAAAATGCAAGACATCAAGAGATTCCAAAGCTATTTGGGTACTTTGAGGGGCTTTGTGTCCACCTCTTTCGATGCAGGAGTTCATTTTCGCCTCCCGCCTGCTGCGGACCTGGCTGAGGCGCGCAAGAGGATCGCAATTGATCGTTCGCTTAGCCTGAGAGTATGTATATCAGAATGTTCAAATCAATGAATTGAAGTGGATTGTAGCTATATCTAAAAATGCTAGAGACATCTATAGGCTATAGACTATATTAACTTTGTGTTGTCAGCATTCCATTTTGACCTGCTAGCAAATCTTCGAGGCACGAGATCCTTCAGGCGAAGATCTTCATCCACCTCCACTGCACCGCCAAGGAGGTCCTGCAGAATCTGCCCGCGTTTCTCTTCCGGGAAGCCGATCCTTGGAGCAAGTCACCGAGGGTGGGCAGCCGGGCCAAACGGGAATCGGACTGATTCTCAGAATCCCGAAAGCTCAAGTAAGCTCAACGTGTTTTGTCACACAATTCCTTGGGCACTTGAAACCTGAGATACACTCCATTACACTCCCAAGAAGTGAGTTGAAGAACTGCCATCCTGTCTCTTCGTAAGTTCTGGGTGGCCAGTCATCTCATGATTTGCCCCTCAATACGTGGAGGTCGGTCCCAGTCTCTCAGTGGGGAGGACATCACACCGAGGTGAAGCGGCAATCGCAGGTGGACCGGCATCACTTCAAGCTCCATCTCGCACGATGGCTGGACAGCTCGGAGGTGCAGACGCCAGGCCACGGGCACGGCACACGGATCTGCACGGGGCACAGCCTTGGTGGGATCTGTATGTATATATATTATATAGGTGTTTTTGGTTTCTTTATGTTTTCTTTATGAAATGAAAGAACATCACCCCCTCCATGAAAAGAACCAATGCGACAAACACGCCATATATATATATAAATATATATTATGCATAGCTCTCCATGGTGGGGTCCGTGGGGGCCCCACAAAGGTGGTGAACAGGCAATTCCGCTTCCACGGGTTTGTGTTGCGCCGCGCCGCCTGTGGAGATGTGACGCGTTGCAGTGTTGTTGGCAAAAGCACCCGGGGCTGCAGCCTTGTTGGACCCTCCTGTTTTGAGTCTCGTTGTTGAATATCTTGGACATCTTTGGGCACATTGAGGAAGAATGACAAATCGTTTTATGGGAGGATCCCTGCAAACAACTTGCTTTGTCTCGTGCAAGTTGATTTCTTTGAAATTACTGTAAACTGCAATCTCTGTAAACAGTGTCATGTCTTGTTGATTTGTTGTCAAGTGGGAGAGTACAGAATCAGTTTCAAGCTTTTCCAGTTTGGGCCCACACATCAGCCACAAACAACGTCGCTGAACAGGCCCGCAATTCCCTTGGGCCTGGGCTGACGCTTGGCCGGCCTTCAGGCTGACCATGGTGTCCTGTAGAGCCAAACTAGTTTCGATTCGGAACATGCCGGAACCACATTGAGCAACCAATGACCCTCCGGTGAAAGGAGAAATCACTAATGATATTTGTATTAATTATGTTTGCGAATGGCTTTTGTGCCAACATGGGCAGGGATGCTTTCTGTGATGCACACCACGTTTTTCTTTACAGCACGAGAAGGTGTCGGCAAAGACAGCCTAAACGTGATCAGATCATGACGGCAGTGAGATGATTCATAAGTGTCAAAGGGATCGTGCTAGCTTGCCATTTGTGGCTAAATCCCGCCTGGCTCCCTAAGGAGGGTGGCCATGAAGACTTACTTTGGGTGCGCTGCCCCTCCTTCGAGTGCAAAGGCATTACCTTCAAGAGCTTCACTGGTGCAGGTCCGACAGACAGTCCAACATGATGAACACCAAGACATGAGATAGATCAAAACATACACATACACACACCGAAAACCAGGAACCATCATTTGGGAAATTGACCTTTTTGACATCGGTACTCAATGCGGCTCATTTAGGAGCGCTGCCACATGGAAAAAATACACCCTTCATGAAAAGCCGTCAATGCATCCCTCCTTTGTGCCTACCTGTCTGGTGAGGTGGTGCCGGACCGAGTCAATTCCGAGTCAACGCTTTAAAGCTGGCTAATATACTATTACCCCAGGGTGTACACGTTTGACTCCCCAAGGATGGTTCGATCTTACCATTGTTGCACTTACGTGCACTTGCGTACTTGGCAACTTGTTAGATATTGGCATTGTTGGATATGTTCGCATGTGAAAAGCCAACGTTTACTGGTGTTCTGACTTGGCAATTTTCTTCGATAGACGCTGGATTTTCCGGAGGGCATCCTCCAATTACGGTAGAAAATCAAACAAGTTTTCCGGAAAAGAAGTGCACGCAGAGCTGCACGACTTCTGAATGGGCGTTTGAACACTTGTTCTTTTGAAGATGATCGTGAAATAGATAACTTTTTGTAGTCCACATGCGTCCACATGGCAATAGACCACTGGTGGGGCCCAACCAGCCAACCAGCCAGGCGGCACTTCATCCAACGACCCGGAGCTCCTGGTGGAGCCCCCTGAGCTGTTGCCGGTGGTGCTGGGCCGGCCGAACTTCCGCCGCGATGTGGCTGCCATTGGTGCTACGGCGAGAAGCGGCGGAAGTTGTGGTGACGGGTATCATTAGGTTCTGCCGGTGGTAGTGGTGGTTACCATAGCTGGTGGGTGGGTTGATGTGGGTTGTTTCGAATTACTCCCGAGTGCGTTGGGAGCCGCCAAGTTGGTTGTGCAGGTTGGAGGATGGTGGAAGGTTGGGTAGCCTCAATCTTGCTCCAAGTATTTTGGACTATAATTATATGGGACGTTTCGGAGGCCTTTGGGGGGAATCACGCTTTGATGGACCCTGGACCATTTTGCTGAACATCTCAGGGAAAGCCCGCCCAGACATGAACGTGCACGTCTACGTGTGCGGCAATGACGGTTTGGTTCATGACCTGCAATCCGTGTGCGAAAGCTGCGCCCGGGAGTCCTTAGCAAGGAAGCGCACGCCACTGCAGAAGTATGTTTTGCACTACGAGCGGTTTGGATGAGGAGTGGAGTTGACCAGAGTGTGGAGATGTGTGGAGGTAGAACATTTGCATGAATAGGGAGGAATAGGAATCCATTAATAATTGTTGATACCCTTCTGCGGACATGACCGAAAACACACGTTCCCAAAC